CCCAATATCGCTCGCGCGCCTGCGTTCTGGACTAATTGTAGTCTCCGAACACTTTTCAGGGGCAGCCCCATAATGTAGCGCATTACAGTAGTCCAGTCTTGAGGTGACAGTCTTGTGCCTCCCGATCCAAATAGGGCCGCAACTGATGCACCAGGTGAACCTGGGCAAAGGCCCCCCTGGTCACAGCCGACAGATGGTGTTCCAATGTCAGCATTCGCTGGCTGGGGAATTCTGGGAGTTGAAGTCCAGACATCTTCAAGTTGCCAAGGTTGAGAAACACTGATCTATAGGAATTTTTCTAAAGTACATTGGACCTAGCAAAGGCTTAACACCTTACATTCAGAAGCCCTCTCTCATGTTTCTGTTCATGACATCATTTTGCTTCATCTTCTGAGAATTTGAGTGCTGTTTTGTTTTGTTTTTAAATAATAGCTTCCGTGATTACAAACAGTTAGGCAATACACTAGCTAGAATCTAAACAAATGTAATAATAGGATATGTTACACAGGAAAAGTATTACCAAGCATTTTCCCTCTTTCTCAGTCTGTCTTATTTCAGGAATTTGAACTGGCCTGGGAGAGTTTAGCTCCACCTACCCAAGTCCTCCCTTTGATTCTAAGCAAACTAATAGACTTATAGCGTGCAGGTATCAGGTCTTCGGCCAACTTCCTTTTTGGGGGGGGGAGAGCCTCCAGACTGAGCAGTTACCAAAAAAATCTGGGGTTGTAATTTCCTGCCAATTGGGTTAATGCATAGATATGTCCTAGAGCCTGGTTTTTTTTTAGAGATTGCCTGAAAATTGACTTAATATAATATTTTGAAACAACAGCCATGTGAAATAATTAGCAATGCTGTAAAACCCTGTCTTCATTACTTTGCATCGTCACCTTTAATTGGTGTCGCTTTTCAAGACCCACAAATGCTTAAATGAGTCTCAATCTCTTTGTTATATACAAATAGGAGGGGAAATAATCTGAAATGCAATGTATTCTTCAGCGATTATATTTTCTTGAAAGAGGATTTAAGGGTCACGGAAATCTGCGCCCATCACCATCGGTTTATCTGAGGAAAAATTCGTGTCCTTTCCCATTGTGTAGGTGTTCCTGGGTTTGATGCCTTATCTTCCTCAGCGCAAATGTCTCTTGTCTTTGTAGGCCAGAAAACACACACAAATCAGTCAAAGCCAGCTACCATGCAGATATCAACTTGCTCTATTGGAGTGACGAAGAAGCAACGGTGGAGTTTAAAGACGTGCAGGGCCGCTGCACTGTGGTGTACGGGGAGGACTTGACAGGAAACATCCAAGATTACTCTGCCAGCGGCTCTGATCGTTTCTACTTTTTAGAGGTGACTTTTTCCACTATGTCATTGGTCCTGTGCAGTTTTTCACCAATATATTATCCAACACACTATAGGTTTTTGTTCTGACCCCCCTCGTCCCACACCAACAGACACTCCGAGCCAAAGATAAGTTACGGCATTTAATTAACAGACAGACAGGTCATTGGCAGCAACCCGGCACAGACAAGCTTGGGCAGCAGTCCAGCACAGATAAGCCATGGCAGCAATCCAGCCTGCCAAGCTCACAATAATGTTCTCCGACATTAGTTCCTGCCTTGACTNTATTTTTATCCAGAATGCCTTAACCTTTTGGCAGGTCCACCATATATGATAATATGTAGCATCAAGAGAACCACACCTCCAACATTTAGGCTGTAAAGAACAGTCTTTATTAACGTGGAAGAGGCAACAGAGAATTCAGAACACGAACAAAATGAAGCCTGCCTGACAGCTATTTATATTTGACAGCTGTCAGGCAGGTGGCCAATCGGCGGCTGGCATTTTTTCCGCCGGCCGGCAAGCCGCCAGAGCCAATCAGGAGCTTGAGGCTCTGGCCACGCCTGCCGGCTGCGTCGGAAGGACACAACACCCCTTCCCCCCAGACAGCGCATGCGTAGTCCTTTAAGTAGGTCGGTCTTCTGCGCACTTGCTGCAAATGCCTAGGAGTGGGAGTGTCCGTCATCGATGGAGGAGGAGGTCTGCTGCTGTGACGCATCAGACTTGAAGGCCCGGCCTCCGGACCCGCAGGAAAGTTTGAAGGTAAGTGTCCTTCACTTGCTGCGGCGGGTGGAGATGGTTGAGCCGCGGTTGGTCATGGCTGGGCAGGCCCCGGCTGTGGTGTTTGTGCGAACGATGTGGCTGGTTGGGGCGGCCCCTCGGTTGTCCGGCGGCGCAGCTGGTTCAGATGGCGCCGCCATAGTCGTCCATCATCAAGCTGGATCCTATAAGAGCAGGGTCCAGTTAGCTCTAGAATGACCCCTGGTAGCCACTTTGGGTCTCTGGCATAGTTATGCGCGAAGACACCCTCACCCACCAGAAAAGACCTAGGGGGTGGGGGAATGGGGCCTGTGGTGGGGGCGAAGGATGTGTGCAACCGGTCAAGGATGGTCCTCAGGCGCCGACCCATTAGGATCTCCACAGGACTTTTGCCAGTGGACTGGCAGGGGGTGGAGTGCTGTGCCAGGAGGTAGGTCCAGAGATGGGCTGGCCATGCCAGGGGGGAGAGCCAGGCCAGGCCCTCCTTGGCCGAACGCATGGCTCGCTCGGCCATGCCATTGCCAGATGGGTGATAGGGGGCAATTGGGGCATGCCTGATGCCCAGGGAAGCGAGGTAGGAGAGAAAGGTGGCAGAGGAAAATTGAGGGCCATTATCAGAGACGATGACGTCAGGGATGTCGTGGGCGGTAAAAAGGGACTGGAGAATTTGGATGGTGGTGCCGGATGTGGTGGACGTCATGGGAAAGATGTCCATCCATTTGGACAGGGCATCCACCACGAGGAGGAAAGTGCGGCCGTCCAGGGGGCCAAAAAAGTCGAGGTGGAGGCAACTCCACGGGGAGGTAGGGGTCTCCCAAGGATGGACCGGGGCGGAGAGCGGAGCAGGGCGAACAGCTTGGCAGGGAGAACACTGCTGGACCCAGGCAGCGATGTCGACATCCATGGGCCACCAGGCATAGCTGCGACCGTGGGCCTTCATGCGCACTATGCCCGGGTGACCCTCATGGAGGCGGCGGGGGATCTGCTGGTGGAGGCAGCAGGTACCACGACCCTGGAACCCCAGAGCAAGCAGTTCTGTAGGGACAGTTCATCCCGGCGGCGGAAGAACGGGAGGAACTCGGCCGAGTGAGTCTCCTCCGTCCATCCCCGCCGAACTGCATCCAGGACTCTCTGGAGGGGGGGGGGTCGGAAGCCTGGGAGACGTCCGCGGCTGAGATCATCGGTCAAGGCCGCGACCGAGATCGAGGGCGCCGGGTCCGAGACAGGGATGGGCAGCGGGCAGTGGCTAAGGGTGTCGGCATGGCCCATATGTTTTCCCGGGTGGTACAGGAAGGAGTAGGAGTAGGAAGAGAGGAACTCGGACCAGCAGCCCATGCGGGGAGAGAGAATAGGGGGAGTGGGCCGGTCGCCAGAGATGATGCCCAAGAGGGGCTTGTGATCGGTCTGAAGGGTGAACTTGCGACCGTACAGGTAGGGGTGAAAACGTTTTACTCCCGCAACGGCCGCAAGGGCCTCCTTGTCCAACTGGCTGTAATTGGGCTCAGCTTTGGACAAGGTGCGAGAGTAAAAGCCAATCGGGGCTTCAGAGCCATCGGGGTAGGAGTGGCTGAGGACAGCCCCGACACCGAAGGGGGAGGCATCACAGGCAAGGATGAGCGGGAGGTGCTCGTCATACTGGACGAGCACGGGGGCAGAAGTTAAAAGGGTTTTGACAGCTGCGAGTGCATGCGCCTCGCGGTCTGTCCAAATCCAAGGGGCGGAGACATCGAGCAAGCGGTGTAGGGGCTTAGCAATGGATGCCTTGTGAGGGATGAAGGATGAATAGAAATTCAGGAGCCCCAGGAAGGCCTGAAGCTCCGCCTTGGAGGAGGGAGTGGGGGCAGAGGAAATGGCCTCAATTTTGGAAGGGGTGGGGTGGATTCCTCTGGAATCCACGAGAAACCCTAGGATGGCACACCCAGCTGGCACTTTGATCGTTTCAAGTGCAAGCCGGCATCTCAGAATCGAGATAGCACCGCCCTAAGAGTCTTGACGAGTCCTGATTGGTCCGGAGCGGCAATCATGACATTGTCAAAATAGGGCACTACACCCGGGATGCCATGGAGCACTCGCTCCATGAGCCCTTGAAAAATACTGGGAGCCTCGCTGACCCCAAACTGTAAACGGCGGCATTTGAAAGCCCCGCGGTAGGTCACTATAGTTTGGGCAGTGGCAGAGGCCTCGTCAACCAGCAATTGCTGGTAGGCTTGGGCCAGGTCCAATTTCGCGAAAATCTTGCCCTGGCCCAAGGACTGCAGAACGTGTTGCACTATGGGCACGGGATAGGGATGCGCCTGAAGGGCCTTGTTGAGGGTTGCCTTATAGTCCGCGCAGACCCTCAGGGACCCGTCGGACTTCAAAGGCACTATGGGGGTCTCCCAAGGGGCATGATCAACGGGTTCCAGGATGCCCTGAGAGATCAGTTTATCGATCTCCGCATCCACACGAGCCCGCAGGGCAAAAGGAACCCGTCGTGCCTTTAGGCGGATGGGCGCCACCATAGGGTCCAGATTAAGGGAGATGGGGTTGCCTTTGTAGCAACCCAGGGCATCTGAGAAGATGTCATCGAACTCTGACAGGAGGGAATCTAGGGAAGAGGCGAGGCGGAGAGAGTTAATGCCGGCTATGCTAAGACCAAAAGCCCTGAACCAGTCTAGCCCCATGAGGGATGCCAGGGGGCTTTTGACAACAACAAGGGGCAACAACAATTTCCCAAACTGGACAGGGAAATACCCGCAAACCAGGATGGGGATAGGGTTGCCCTGGTAGTCCCTCAGGAGGCAGTCTGCAGGGGACAGCTGACTAGGTGTAAGGGTCGGAAGCAATGCCCGCAGGGTGTCCCAGGACATTATCGTGCGGGCTGAGCCCATGTCCAGTTCCATCCGGCAGGGGCGGCCGGTGAGTAAGACGTGAAGGTGCATCTTACCCTGGCCGCCATAGGAGGAGGCAGCGGAGTCAGGCAGCCAGTCGGGCACAGGAGGCCCGGGATTGGAGACAGCGTACCACCCCAGGCGGGTGGCAGAAGGCCCAGGAGGCTGACGTCTGAAGGCAGCAGGAGGAGCAGAGGAAGCAGAAGGCGGGGGCCTCGGGTTGCGAGCATCCCCTGGAGTGGAGCGGCAAACGGCTGCGATGTGGCCCTTCTTACCGCACTTGCGGCAGAGAGCCGTTCTGAAACGGTAGGAGGCCCTGGAATGGTGGCCGCCACAGCTGAGGCACACACCGCCATCCTGAGATGGCAGAGACCGGAGGCGGTCAACGGAGGAAGCAGCGTCGGCATAGGGGTCGTTGACCATCATTTGGCAATGGACAGCCGAATGAGGCAGCGCTGGCATCGCAGACAGAGGGAATCGCCGGACATCAGGGGTGGACTGGCCGGTCATCTCATATGCGCAGGCTTCGTCCACCGCAATTTTCATGGAAAGTTCAGTGCGGGACAAAATGCGGCGATGTAAATTAATATCGAGCAGTCCATAAATGAACTGCTCCAAGAGGGCATCTTCGAGGTCGGCAAACTCGCAATTTATTGCGGCAGCCCTCAGCTCAGCCACGTACTGGCTGATCATTTGTCACTCTTGTTGGATGCAGTGCCTGAAGAACTGCCAGCGCAAATACTTAGATGGCGTCGGCTCATAGTGGATCTTGAGCCTAGCCATGAGGAGGTCGAGAGGCATCGTGTGCACTGGGGTCGGTGCAGAAAGAGCCCTGGCGGTGGCAAACATTTCTGGCCGCAGTAATGTAGGAAGGTGCCCCGTCTTCTCCCCTCAGGGAGATCGGAGAGGTCATGAGCCTGGAGGAAAACCTCGAACTTGTTGAGAAATGCGTCCCAGGATTCAGCCTCTGGCCGAAAAGTGATGAAAACCGAAGAAGGAGCCAAGGCTGGGATGATAACGGGGTCCATGTTGCCCACCTTCGTCGCCAGTTTTAAGAACGAGGCGCTGAGGTAAACAGAACAGTCTTTATGAACGTGGAACAAGCAACAGCGAAATCAGAACATGAACGAACGAAGCCCGCCTGACAGCTATTTATATTTGACAGCTGTCAGGCGGGTGGCCAATCGGCGGCTGGCATTTTTCCCAACGGCCGGCAGGCGCGCCAGAGCCAATCAGAAGCCTGAGGCTCTGGCCACGCCTGCCGGCTGCGTCGAAAGGATGCAACAGAAAGCAGAATCCTCATTCCAATATCAGGAATTGTAATCAGAAAGCAGCTTGAAGACCAAACCTTCCCTTAACAGCCAGGCTGGATTTTTTAAAACTTTAGAGTCTATAGCGGGTCAATCAACTTCCAAACCTGTGCCTTCCTGGTTCCAAAAATCATACTAACCAGAGATTATAGAAGTTAGAAGTCCGAGACATCTGGAGGACATCAGGTTTGCTGGAAGGCAGACTTTTAAGTAAACTTCAGAAATTCCCACAAACTTTTTAGAAGCCATCTAACTTTCTTGCTGGCTTTAAGTCATAGTGTGGCCTCATGGCGCCACCTAATGAACATTCAGGACAAGAAAGTTGATGGACCATAGGAATTTCATCTCGGAAGGAGAGGACACCCAGGTTTGTGATGTTCAACTATCTCAAATGTGAAAAGTTAGAGGCCCAAAATACTGCCTTTCTGCTCTTTGATACAGCTTCCAGTATGAGTATTAATCTCAAGCTTCAAATTGAATTTCCAATATGAATAAATAAAAAATATCCTGGTTTTTCCATCTTAATTGCTGCAACTAAGAAGTAGCTGAACTAGAATGGATGGAAATGGTTGCTTCTTGATGTGGAACCATTTTTTAGACAAATAAGAAGTGGGGAAAGATGTGAAACCCATTTCGTTTGATTTCCCAGGACTTATCAAAAATTAGTTGGCACAGGAATCTGTCAAGAATCAGTCAACTGTGTGAAGCCCAGCTCTGCATTTTCTATCTCCTTAAATTGCAAGAGCAGTAGAATAAACAGCATATGTTGTGACTAAAAGATTTATGATTGGCAACAAACTAGTAGTCTAGACTGCTGACCCAGGTTCACCATTTGAGAAAGAGTTTTATTTTTAAAAATGATTATACAATACACAATAGGAGAGCTAAGTCAGGATGTGAGCAGGAAAGAATTCCAGAGCTAATAAGAAGAGTGACTGATATTGCCTTTCCTCTCTGACTTATCCTCATGATTACGAAGTCCACATTTATCTCCCCCTTTCCTCTAGAGTAACACTGACTGTCACCTTTACATCCAGAATGTTCAAAGCAACCTACAAATTGTATTCATTTATTTAATTTTCTTCAAGCCTTTGTAAGGCTGCCGAACCCATGTGGAATGCTGTGCGAATTCAATTGTGACGCTTCTACGAAGGTTGTCATGGCATCAGATCTAATGGCAAAAGTCCAGTAGAAATGCAGTGACAAGAGGGATTGTGGTGGAAATCATATCCAGAAGTTTCTTCAACTGGTTTGTATATGTGGAGTTGAGATGGGAATAAAACAGAGCAGGACCACCACTCTCAATCCCAACTCTAGCCTATAAAAGGAACCTCAAATCATTGCAAAAGCAGATAAGGCACTTACACCAGTTGATAAATCCCTGAAAATGAAACTCTAAAAGACTTCATCTGCTCCCCCTTCCCTTTTCTACAGGGATCAAGCTAAAAAGAGAACTGCTCTTTTTGGGGAGCTGCTTAGAGCATCTTCAGAGTAACGGAAAGCTTTCCAGATCAAAAAACACAATGAATGCACCAGACTATAGATGAAATCCATCGCTTTGGACAGCAACAAGTTTTTGGTACCCTCAACCAATGTAGACATTCAAAACCATCAGATAATGTTGGTGGCATATCTGTAGAGTAACGAAAGGGGATTGCACAATCTGTTGCAACCTTTAAATTGTGCAGTATTGTGTTGATAATCCTGAGTAAGTCCAGTCTCATTGTCCAATCAATTCTATCATTTCCTCCTGATCGACTATTTTCTCCCGAGTCTTTCCAGACAATTTGCCTCTTGCCACTTCAACAGCATCAATCTTCTCCCAATCCGAAAAGGAAACAGGGTGAACCCCTATTAATTGGCAGAGAAAGGGGAAGTACAGATCAAAATCCAAATTAAACACACACACACACACACACACACACACCTACCTCAGAAATCCTCAGATGTGCTGAGGCTTCCTCAGAATCAAATTCTGAATTAAAGACACACTCTCTACACAAAGGACTAAGCAGACTCAAAAGTCCTAGTCAAATCAAATCACTTAACCGTTTCTGGAAAGTTTCTTCTAATAGCATCACTCTATCGTCAGGGGAAAATTGCCTTTGGTTCATTTAAACATTTTGAATCAATTTAGAGGGAAGACACTAATTGAAAGCATTTAAATAAAATGACAATTTAAAAAAACCCAGTTGGGCTTTAAAACGTGTTCCCAGATATACTAGGAAAAGGCCACAGCAAAGCTGATTCAAATGCAAACACATTGTAAAAAGAGATTCCTCTATTCCTCTGAGCCTTTACCAGGTTTCACATGTCACTGTGAAATCATCCATCCTGGAGTTCTCTGGAGGACAATCTGCTTACATTTCTAAGCCTATCAAAACCGCTGCTTTATATAGACCTAGTTCTCACAGTAATACACCACTTCTGTGCCCTCCTATGTAGGGTGGGGGGGAAGCAAGGAAATAAAGACCTGGGTGGAAAATCTGTCATATGACAAGGAGTCCCTGGCACTGCCAATCGCTTTCTGTTGTCTTTTACCTAGTAGCAATATCAACTGTGTGCTCCGAGGGACACCCTCATCCCTCTGGTATTCGAATCTCTGGATATTATGCAAATCTGCAGAAATAAATAAACCCCACAGAGTCAAGGGACTTAATTCCTAGAATGTTTATTTAAGATTGAAGCCCACAATCTCAGGAGGTAACTTCGGCATAAGAGGTTCAAGCAAAGATTTTCGTAAGCATAAGTACATAAAAGCAGGGGAGGAAACTGTCAAAAAGCCAAAAATACCATGTCATTAGAAAAATCTCACATGAATAGCATTCCTGTCCAATGTTCTGTTGATATCCCCCTTCCCCAACCGCTTTATCTGAACAGGCAGCTGAAGAGACTAGCAAAGCCTGGGGACAACATTTGGGAAGATGTGTCCTCAAGCAGGCATGTTTCCTTGAGACAAAGAGGCAAAATCCAGAGAGATCAATTCTAAGACTCAAGAAGCACACAAGCTCCTCAAGACAACTTTGGGCGGGGGGGGGGGGGGGTGGATTCCTTCTTTCAATATCAATTCAACAATACAAAGTAAACAACCTGAAAGTGTTACAGTGAGCACAGACTAAGTGCAAAGACATTTGTCACAACACTAGGAGATCCTGCCAAAACATTTAAGATAGAGATTTGGGTTCTAGATAAGGTGAACTGAAGATAGCTATGCAAATGTGGTGCCACTCAGGTTTACAGTTCCTTAATATGCAATCCTTAGCTCAGATATTCCCACTCATCATAGAATACAAATACAAAGTGGGGAACTTGTCACATTCCAGTTGTATAAACTCGGGAGCTTCCACCAGCAGAGACAATGATGAAGGCTACTTAATGGTAGCCTTCTTAAGTAGCTACTCAATGGTAGCTACTTAAAATGAGGCCTTTGAACTTTGGTGCTGGAGAAGACTCCTGCAAATCCTTTGGACTGCAAGGCAATCAAACCGGTCAGCCCTAGAGGTGGTCAACCCTGGCTCCTCTTTAGAAGACCAGATCCTGAAGATGAAATACTTTGGACGCCTAATGAGAAGG